TCGCAGCTGCGGATTCGGCGTGTGGTAGCCATGTGAAGGAGCAGATTTAGAATGAGCAGAGAAAGGCATAAGTAGCTTTGTTGCCATGCTTATGATTTTGTGAAGAATGGAGAGTCTTACGATGAATGATCCCTTTATGTAGTGGTGAAAATGGAAGAAGGATTGCATGCCAGTTCTTAGGTTGTGTATGTGTCTCCCTGCCTACACTGATTTACCATCTCTCGTCCACGCCTCCACGGCATTGACTCACTTTGTTTGTGATTGGATTGGGACCAAATCGATAAACCGATAATAAAAGGAGATTTGGTAGAGAAGGCTAGATAACAAGTTGCAAGTTCAAGACTCCGAACTTTGAAACTGCCTGATTCATACCGGATGTTCCAATTCGATCACCCACTGCTAAACTTTCAAATGATATTCTTCATTTTTTTTTAACTTTTTATTCCCTTTACAATTGAATTTTCTATTTTTATATTTCAAATATTACAGGAAAATAATTCATTATTTTGCATGTTCGAACAAAATTAAATAAGTTTTTGGCTCCCCCACGACTTCACTTTCGGTCAAAATTTGCCTATTTTGGTAAGTATAAAGAAGGCCATATTTGCCTCTTTGTGCAAGCCCGTATTAATGTAATATTCCTCCTACTTCTAAAAAAAAGGACGCTCGTCCAGCCAGGCAGAAGAGGACGCTCGTCCAGCCAGGCAGAGAGAACGCTCGTCCAGAAAGCTAAGAGGACGTTCGTCCATCTAGCTAAGAGGACGCTCGTCGAGATGCGCTCAGTGGACGCTCGGCAGGAGAAGTGGACGCTCGTCCATTTTCAGTGAACGCTCGTCCACATACAGATCGTCCGCGCCCGGGCGCGCGATTCTTTCAGAAAGTTTCAACACTCTGTAATCGATTACCAAATCAATGTAATCGATTACAGGATCCAGAAGTCGTTTTTGGGATGCACGACTTCAACACTGTACCTATGAACAGTGTGAAGTCGTGCAGGGGGGCACGACTTCTTCTTTTGAAGTCGTTTTGGCCCCCCACGACTTCACTTTCGGTCAAATTTTGCCTATTTTGGTAATAAAGAAGGCATATTTGCCTACTTTGGTGCAAAAGCCTCGCAGCTGCGGATTCGGCGGTGGTAGACATGTGAAGGAGCAGATTTAGAATGAGCAGAGAAAGGCATAGTAGCTTTGTTGCCATGCTTATGATTTTGTGAAGAATGGAGAGTCTTACGATGAATGATCCCTTATGTAGTGGTGAAAATGGAAGAAGGATTGCATGCACAGTTCTTAGGTTGTGTATGTGTCTCCCTGCCTAACACTGATTTACCATCTCTCGTCCACGCCTCCACGGCATTGACTCACTTTGTTTGTGATTGGATTGGGACCAAATCGATAAACCGATAATAAAAGGAGATTTGGTAGAGAAGGCTAGATAACAAGTTGCAAGTTGCAAGACTCCGAACTTTGAAACTGCCGATTCATCGACCGATGTTCCAATTGGATACCCACTGCTAAACTTTCAAATGATATTCTTAATTTTTTTTATAAGCTTTTTATTTCCCTTTAAATTGAATTTTCTATTTTTATATTTCAAATATTACAGGAAAATAATTCATTATTTGCATGTTAGAACAAAAAATTAAATAATAGTTTTGGCCCCCCACGACTTCACTTTCGGTCAAATTTTGCCTATTTTGGTAATAAAGAAGGCATATTTGCCTACTTTGGTGCAAAAGCCCAGTATTAATGTAATATTCCTCCTACTTCTAAAAAAAATTAAGATTGGTAAATTAGATGTTGTTCGTGTATTTAAAAATAAATACAATGACTAAACATAATGATTTAAAATTTTAAAGAAATAAAAGTTTAAAAAATATTTTACAAAAAATGAAACAAACATTCACATTTTTTAACAAATATTTTAAAATTTTATATGCATGAAATAAAACACAAATCATTTTTTTAATATTAATATTACTTTATTAAATTAATTATAAAATTATGTTTAAGAAAAAAATATCAATTTTTTAGTATTAATATATCTCTATTAAATTAATCATAAAATTATCTTTAAGAAGCAAAGGTCTTCAATAAAATTAGTACTCTCTATTAAATTAATCATAATTTTGTCTGAAAATAAAATGTAATTAAATTATTATCAGTTTTTGACAATTTTATTGATATTAAAAATAATATTTAATGAATTAAAACTTTTTTCAATGAATTATAATTTTATTTAGAAAAACAAATTAGTTGTTTTTATTCTCTTATAATCAATTTTGACTATTATTTTTTATCTATTGATTTCACTCATTATTTCTTCTTGTTTTCTTCTATACTAAAGTTCTTCTAAAGTTTTATGTAATGTTAAAAAATTAAAGTCACTAAATTATACACTTTTAAAAAAATGTTTAATATCTCAAGAAAAATTATAAGTTAAGAAAATAATAAACCAATTGACATAATTAATTATATAAAAAATAAATTATTTAACTTATAAAATAATCTTAACAATTCGAATGAGTTTATTAAGAAAGAATTAGCTAAATAATAAAAACTGACAAAGATTAAACTAATTATGTAAGACCCTACATAATTAACACTGCAACTTAAATCAAATCAAATTTTTTTGTATTAAGAACCTATCTGCAGTGCAGTCCACGTCACTATTCAGACAATTAAAACCCACTTACATACTCTCTGCTTGCACTGTAAGCACATGCACACACTGACACACGCCTGCCAAGTGTCGTTTTAGAACCTTTGGAAATCAGTAGTGGGTTACAGATGGCAATCCGAGGGTGCATGACCGTTTGACGCGGGGGGAAGAAAATGATTTCTCTGAAAACCACTTCCTCTCACACTCTGCATTCACCTTCTTCCCCACGAACTCAACCCTTCATCTTCTCCAACTTCTCTCTAAAACTCCCAACTTCTCTCTACTGTGATTCTCACGTTTCTTCTCCGATCAACTTGTAGCACCGTAAGAACATTCGTCCAGCGGTGAGCTTTCTTTTAGACCGAACCAATCTCGGTTCTGGAGACGGTAAGTCTTCCAACTTAGGTGTTTGTTTCTGGATCTTCCTGCGAAACCAGTTTCTGTTGCATGCAAGGGTAGAAGTTGATATCTTCTGCATTTCTTTGGTTAGATTTAGTTAAAGAAACTTAAGTGGCTGTTGAGTACAGAAGAGCTGTAGTTGAACGTGTGAAAATCATACTCTTAGGGCGTACACTGCTATCCAGGTAAGGGAAGCTTGAGTAATTTAATTTAATACTTGTTTGATTTGTATGAAAGCAATGAAAGGTATGGGATGTCTGAACTGCATGAAACAATTGACATTTAAGTGTGCGTGAATGAGCATGAGTGCACTGGATGTATATTATGAATATTGTTTGAGCTGTATGCAGAGAATGAAATGCATGATTTGGAATATGATTGAATTTCTGTATGGTTTGGAATGATATTGTTTTGAACTGTATATTAATGATGAGATGTTTGAATTGGAGAACTGGAAAAATACTGTATTGATGAGATTCTAATATGAATTCTGTAATGTATGAGATTTATGGTGAAGATGAAATTTTTAAAGTTCAAATCATATGAAATCTGTGAAATTATCGTGTTTGAAAAATCTGGAAATTTGGATCTTCTCTGATTGATCATGTACGCTCGTTATCGAACGGTCTTATACCGTTCGGTTTCCCTG